GGCCTCAAAGAAGCTCGGTGTGCTCAGCAAGGCGAGACAGTACTTCACGTCGGCTCAACGCCTAAACCTTTATAAGGCGCAAATTCGGCCCCACATGGAGTACTGCTCTCACCTCTGGGCGGGAGCCCCCTGTTACCAGCTTCTTCCATTTGACCGCATCCAACGTAGGGCAGCTAGGGTTATCGACGATCAAGGTCTTTCCGATCAGCTTGATCCTTTGGCTATGCGTAGAGATGTTGGGTCACTCTGCATCTTCTACCGCATCTATCACGGGGAGTGTTCCGAGGAATTGTTTGGATTGATCCCAGCGGCTGAATTTCACAATCGGACATCGCGCCAAAACCAAAAATTTCATCCACACCACCTCGATGTCCAGCGTTCCACAACAGCGCGATTTTCAAGGCATTTCCTGCCTCGCACAACCACTCTGTGGAACCAGCTGCCGCCGGCGGTCTTTCCGAACCGTTACGACCTGGGAACCTTCAAGAAGAGAGCGTACTCATTCCTAAAAGGCCGGCAACGCATTTGTAAGCCCTCGGGTGTTGCAGATGTCCATGGGCGGCGGTGATCACTTACCATCAGGTGAGCCTCCTGCTCGTTTGCTGCTTTTTTCCCATAAAAACAAAAATTACATATGATACATAGATACGTATACAAATATACACACTCAATTGTGAATGAATGAATACACTTAAATTGTTCAACACAAATGAAAGTATACATAAAAGTGACAATAATATCTATTTATAATGATTGACATGATGATTGTAATTTTAATTTAATTTAATTGAATATTACATACTTAACTTCTTTGCTTGGAATTATTATTGTAATTTTTATTTTTTTAATTTATATTTATTTGATCTAATTTAATCTATGTACATATTGAATTATTTTTATTTAAATAATAATTTTCGCATGCCAGATGTGGTAAATATGTGGACTATGTACAATATGCAACTATGTGTCACCTCTGATGTACCATGTTTAAGCGAATAAATGATATTTTGCGCCCTTATCGGTTCATAGCGATGTCTTCCAGGCAATGTTTCAAAAGTGATTTATTTTTATTATAAAATGACTTTTGTGTTTACTTCTACCCTATATGATAGTACATTGTGCGGTCGAATATCTTACAAGCAAATTTTTTTCGTTAACCTAAAAAAAAAATCTTTAGATAACTTTAAACAATAACTAACAAGTAGGTAAGTCCAATGAAAACATTTGTGTAACGTAAGTGTATCGAGGGAAAATAGTGTTATCATAAAAGCAAGATCAAACGGCCTTCTAGTCTTAATTAAACGAAACAAGTGTTATTTCAGGGATTTGTTAATTACGGGACTGCTGTAAGACGTCGTGGCGACAAGTCTGCGAAATGAAATTTCGTTTTGAGAGTGTAAGTCACGAACCTCCCAAGGTTGTATGATCTGATAGTATAATTTCCATACCGTTATATTTCTTTTCTACTTAATTAAATTAATCGTTTTAATTTCTAACATAACTTGTGACTAAATTAATTGTAGAAAAAGTACGAAAAGATTGTCGCCGCTGTGGGAATCGAACCCACGTCTTCGGCATTCGCGGCCTGACGCTCTAGCCACTGAGCTAAACGGCTGATAGCCACAGCGACGAAAATCTTAACGCCTTCTTTCTACATTGTTATTTAGCATTTATAATAAAACGATATTCGAAATTGTTTGTATGCTGGAAACGATATTCGAAATTGTTTGTATGCTGGAAAGGATATAACAATAGATGCGCCAAGCATTGCTTCAAATGCTAAATAACAATGTAGAAAGAAGGCGTTAAGATTTTCGTCGCTGTGGCTATCAGCCGTTTAGCCTCAGTGGCTAGAGCGTCAGGCCGCGAATGCCGAAGACGTGGGTTCGATTCCCACAGCGGCGACAATCTTTTCGTACTTTTTCTACATGTTTTAATGTTCAATCTTAAGTGCAGAGATTAGCACTTTAAAAAAACTTTAAAATTTTTAAATTAATTGTTTCATTTACCCCAGCTATGCCCGTTTTCACCATCGATCCCTAACTTTAAGAGACATCTAACAAAATTTAAGAGCTAGTTTCGTTTTCACTACCGCTTAAGTGTCATGCTTAAGACTTTAGGTGACACTTAAGAGGTGTAGAAAACGAAACTACCACTTAAATTTCTCTAAGTCTCCCTTAAGTTAGGGACCGATAGTGAAAACTGTCATTAGAAACACATAATATTAGCTTATTCACGTAAAAATTAATAATTACAATACCCAATGGCACGGTTTCACATCAAATAGAACATTTATGCAGAAGATTCCTTACCACGTATTGACCAACCAACATAAACTCCATGAACAGGTCTCCGGTCAGGGATGTGAATTTATAAATGTTTAAGAAGGTTTAGTATTCCCACAGGCCATAATGTACTTTACTAGAAAGTTTCATTTGCGGCTGTTAAATTATTGGGTGAAATGTTTATAAACGAAATATTTTAAAATCTTTAATAAACGTTATCAATTCCCCTCTTTTTCCAGCTCAGAAAAGCCTTAGAAAACATAACAACAAACATGAGGATATAAATTGGTAACTAAATTGCTTTAAAAATTCAATTATTAGAGTCTGGATACCACTTATAATTACATTCAAATCAATGCAGTCAAGAAATGGTTGCATTTCAATTTATTAATTTACCACGTGCCCGTTTGTGATACTATGAAACGCTGCCTGCACATGCAAGATATGAAAAGGAAAACATAATTACTACATTTGAAAAGCCATTCAATCGGAACAGGGCCGTGTTTTAGATTATACTACCGATACTTAGGTCATACTTAATGTTTCTGATACTTGATAAAGAATATCAGTTACATTTATGGTACATTTACTGTTGCCCTCAATAATACTCTCAAATTCAATAATTCAGTGCGAATTCGCTAAAAAGTAATTTTTGCCAGTTTGATTTTCCTTTTGTGATTCTCTTTTTCTACTTCCAGTTTCATTTGGTTGTGGTACGGTATAGATATTGGATTCGGAAGTTCAGTTATCAGCCGTCCTCCGAATGCATCGCCTTCGAAATGACCCCATCAACGTCTGAATTCTCTGATCTCTGTTCGTGGAACAGGCACCAAATTGCAGTTGTACTCGCAACTCCGTTGTTGACATAGGCCTCGGTGAAAAACGTTAAAAAATAGTTGAATGAATAATTGTTGAATAAAAATTTTCATTATTCTAAACGCCATACATTTTCTGAAGGACGCCACAGTGAAAAATGAATTGAAAGTGTCCCAATTTAAATATATATATATATATATATATATATATATATATATATATATATATATGTTAATAAGTTTTTTAAAATATTTCTTTTAATTGCAAGGTTTCGAAAAATTTCTGCATGTCCCACTAGATATAGAGTCAGATTTTCCAGCACATTCCGTAAGGTTGCAGACTATACAACTTAAAACTTGAAAATGTTAAAAAGCCGTTACTAAATTACTAACATACATACTCACTTAATTGAGTTTTTTAACTGTTCAACAATTTTCAAATAACCGTCCATTATATGTTGTCAACATATTAAAATAGAGAAAATACTACATTTTTCTATAAATATCACATATAATTTATATTTATTTTGACATATAATTTATTAATTATTATATTAAAAACAGTGATATCTATTAGCAACTAAGCGAAAATAAAGTTAAGGAACTCGTAAAAGCAAACCTAATTGAAAGGACATGTTATATCCTGCCACAAAGATGGTGGTAATGAATACATGATTTTGATGTGTTTGTTTTAGGGACTGCGATTTTACACTTATGTTGTTTCTCAAAATGAGAACCGTTTTTGATTAATTAGAATCGCAAAACTTCTAATCGGTTTGTCTGGACGACTCTAGTTAAGTATCCGGTAGTTTTCACGATCTTTAAACATACCACCGGTGTAGTAGACTGTTTTATGGGCTTTGAAACAGACCAACAAAGTAAATAGAGATTACCACTTTACTGAAGCCGTGATAGCTCAATGTCCGGGCGCTTGCCTTTAATTCAATATATTCGAGCAACCTGAGTTCGATTCCCGGTGCCGGCACCAATGAAATTGATAATTTTAAGTGCTGAATTCATGAAGGAAAACATCGTGAGGAAACCTGCATATTCTCGAAATAATAAAAAAAAGGATTTCGAATATAAGTTTAATCCGCCGATCCGCAATGAGAACACGTCGTGGATTATGCCCCGATACCCTCTGAACAGAGGAGGCCTTTGCAGAGCAGTGGGACACGTATAAGTTGGTACTTTACTTTTAATATACTTTTACCGCTTTACTGTGTCATGTTTGATATTTGTAAGAATTAGGTATTCAAAAATCCAAAAACAATTATTGAACAAAATATTACTAATATAGGGACAATAAAAGTCATGACGAAACTTTTATAGCAAAAGTATCAATTTTAATTTTTTCACACTTCAAGAATATGACATTTATCCAGTATTAATAACAAATCTATCAGCTTTCATCAACAACCGACTTATTTACAATATCATGGAAAAAAGATAACTAATATTATAATTACACATTTTTCGTGAAAAAAGCAAGGGCCTCATAGAATACTAAGTAACCTTTATAAACTTTACTACTGACTTAACTACTGACTTAACATCTAATACAGTCTTCGATTTTACAATAAACATGCAATGACTGTATGAAAGATAAGTTAAAAACATTTTCTTCTAAATTAACATATCATCATATTGTGATTCGAAATCTTTATGTTAAAGCGCAGAAAGTAATATATTTAATACATGAAATAATTCAAAAGCTTAAACAAATCTAGATTTTTTTTGGGTTTAAAACAATCATAAATATAAAGGCTTACTTCACTGTACTCTTAATAAATTTCATTAACTGTCTGACAAGCTCATTTTAAGTGTTAATACAAGAATTCTCATTCAGAAAAATAGAAGCTTATTGGGAAATCTTAACGAGTTGAATTAATGTTTTTTATCTTACAATTTTTTCAAACACGATGTGGAGAAGGGGCAATAAAATAATTACATTAACTGTGAGCGCTCGGCAAGATGACGACTTATAATATTTCACTTCGTCCTGAGTGGGTGGAGAATAAGACGCCTCAAAGCTAAGCTTACTCGGACACGGTAGTGCTTCCGCGTGCAATTCCAACAATTTCCTGCGATACTCTATATTAGTGCCTTTCGATTCGTTCACCTGATCCTGCAAAGAGTCCTCGTAGTTGACGTCATCGTCGGTGCTTCCATCGATTTCCTCGTAAGTTTTGTCCATGCTGCTCTTAAAAGTCATCGTGTTACTTTTAAAGGGTGCGCCAATATTTTTGTCGATTCTAATATTGCTCGCGTTTGGCTTCTTGATATCGCTGACGCAGCTGAGCCTGGCGAGCGCGGTTTTGACACGTTTGCTTCGAGTTTCATTACTCAACTTCTGGAGCCACAACAAACTGCAGTCGCAAGTCATCTTGTTACCTGATGATAAAAGAAATACTTTTTAAAAGTATCGGTATCATGTATTTTACAGAATGTGTTATTTACTTTTTCTACATAAGATGTTACTTGATTACATAACACTTATTATTGTGTCACACGATTGATGTAGTATATTTATATGAATAATATTTTTTACGATTTTTATACACAATATGATTTGTAAACTAAAACTTTCTTAAAATAATGCAAGACGCAGTACAATTGGTTTTTATACTAATAAGATAAAACAACAAAGGTAAAGAACAATGAAGAAGGATTTATAAGAAATAAACATTTACTGAATATTAACTCGGTCCTCAATTTATGTAACGTCAAAGCAGTTTCAAATAATAACTCACCGTCAAGCGCCAGCAAGGCATAATTCGACTTAAAATTTTCCATTACACTCTGCAATGTTTCCTGTTTTAAACTTTCCAAGTTGTTGTTCCTTAAATCCAAAACATTAAGCTTTTGAACATCGTTAAGTAAATTGTCGTCTAGAATTCTCAACTTATTATCGGCTACTGAAAGTTTCCTCAATTGAGTCAATCCACCAAAACCTCGCTCAGATATAAATTCTATTTCGTTGTTGTCAAGATACAACTCTTGGAGGCTCCAAAGTTCGGTGAAGGATAAGTCACCTATCATCATTAGTTTGTTGTTTCTCATATCTAAGTTGATTAAATTTGACAGTCCTTGGAAGTTTTCCCGAACTATAACCGTCAGAGCGTTACTGCCAAGATCAAGCTTGATAAGGTTGTTCAGATGCTTAAAGCAGCCGTCATGGAGAACTTCTATCTTATTCTTTGATAAATATAATCTTTGCAGATTTGGTAAGTCGTAAAAGGTGTCCCTTTCCAATTCGAATATTTGATTTTCTACCAAACTGACGTTGGACAGCATTATGAGGTGCGCGAAAGACATTCTCTCGAGTTTAACGATTTTGTTCTTGGGCAGCACTATTTCGCGCAGCGATGTGGAGTTTGTGAACGCGAAAGACGGTATACTGTAAATGTTCGCGTATTGTATATTCAAGTTTTGCAAACGCTCCAATCTAACAATTATCTTTGCCGGTATGTAAGTCAGTCCACCGTCGGCCCTCACGTTGAAGCTTAACTTTTCGATCATTGGCTGTGAATAGAAATTAGACCAGAATGGATCGTCTTCTGCGATACCACCGTTGAACACCCAACAATCGGCCCTCGTTGCCGTTTTTAATTTGATATTTTCACAGTAGCAATGAACCTTTGATACTCTATCTTGAATGTCGCAAATATTCACATAATGCGAGTATAAACTTTTATCCGTTTTCCATCTTCTTTTGTCACTCTGGCGACTCTCTGTGAAGTTGATCTCTATTGTGGCAAAAGCTATTATCAGCATTAAGTATTTATAAGCCATGTTGTTGCTTTATTGTAGTCCGATTACATCTGCAACAAAAGATTTTAATATATAACATTTGAAATATATACCTTACGTTCATGGTAGTGAAAATTTAAATACAAAAAAAAATTGTTGATATTTTGAAAATTCCTTTTGATGAGGAAATCATATAGAAGAATATTTTGACACAATAAAAAAAATATTTCAAATATATGTGAACTTTTTCAATGCTCTGGGTGTTCTTTTAATGTACTATGATCACTACTATGGCCTAGTAAACGTAATAAAACAAAGCGTTCAGGTACAGAATAGGCGTTGGCTTCCCATTGGGACATTTATTCTATAAATTTTGGTAGGAAAAAAGTTGGTTTATCTTAAGCAAAAACTAAATAAGCTTCCTTTTAAATTTCGTTCTACTTCATTTTTTACGTCGGTATAAAAAGGGCCTTGAAAGATTTGTTAAATATTCAGGTTGTTGTGCGGTTGAAACAATATCATAGAACTTGAACTCTTTTTTTTACACTTAATTAAAAGAGAGAACGCGGTCACTGAGCTACGAAGCCTCTTATATGTGCGCAATTTCGATTTCCATGACATTCACTTCAACGCGAACATCCGTGATAGCTCAGTGTCTGGGCACACACTTTAGGTTCAATACGCTTGAGCAATCTGTGTCAAATCCCAGTGCCGGCGGCGCTGTAATTATAAATTGCAATTTTAAGTGCTGACTTATATAAGGCCGTGACGAAACGTCCTGGGTAAACCTGCATACTTTTGAAACAATAACAACAAAACATTTCGAAGATATGAGAATTCTGCCAATCCGCAGTGGTTTCGCATTTCGAACTATGTACCCTAAAACCCTCCGCTTACCACCTTTAATCAGCATTGGGACACATTACTTCATTTTATTTTTATGGCTGATTAAGACTAATAGGGATATGCATTCACGTTCTTTGATACTCTACTTTACTACTCCACGATTGATAAAAATCAGGAGCACTGCACGTGTCGCACAAGCGACAAACATTACTTTCACTCATAATTATGTAGTGACATTTATAAGTGTCAAAGTACAAAAGGCTTTTTTTAATATTGACTTCTTGATTTTACGCGAATATGCGGGAGTCTGTCCCGTGACCATGAACGCTGGAAAGGGTTCGAAACGTTGGGAACAAAATCAAAATAGAAACGCGATAAAATCCGTAAATTAGTTTCATTGATTGATTATAGTAAAACTACTAACAATTTTTAGGTAATTATTCTAATCATTTTGTTTCACAGTTTAATTTCGAGTTTCGATTCAAATAGTTGACCAGGGAGCTATTATGTTAGAGTTCCTTGTGATTAATTACCAACACATTTGATGCACGAACACCAATTAAATTAGCTCTTCCACTGGACTTTGACCCTAAGTGAACACAGCTGGAATTTTATATGACTCTGATATTAACCTACTAGCAGAGGGCGTAAAATACAAGTTCGTTTGAGCGCGGGTTTAACGACCTCCGACCAGTTTTAGGGGGTTCCGTGAGCTTTGCGACTACAACGAACAAAGCTGTCAGACGACAAATTTATGCGACCCACGATAATTAACCCGACGCGTTGTATTAGGGCAATGGATACGGCTAATGACTAAATTTGTCACGTGGAAATCTGACGTATATCACGTTAGTAATGCGAACGTGCACTAGTGAAAATTCAGTGTGATTTCCACGGCTGGGTTTTATTTCACCTCCACACGGAACTGTCGGCGGTTTCTACACGAATAGCGCTGTAAATAATACCATAAATACACGATCGTATCGCGTTTACGAATAAATAGGAAAGTGCGTTCCTTACAACATTTTAATGTGCTAACGAAACGGCTATATAAAACACATATTTGTGTACAGTACTACGAAACGTTTAAAATTAATGTGGACTTAGAAATATTTCTTTTAAATTTCACATGCAAATATGTTTAGAAATAAAAAGCCATTTATAGAGAACATCATTATTAATAGAAATGGTTTGAAACGGTCAGCCCGCGAGGTAAAATGAAATATCGAATAACAGCTCTGACAAATGTCACAACGACAAAATGGAACCAAAAATAGCTTTCGATATTTTACAGCCAGACATTTTAATTAATTTAATATGAAGGTTCTACTATTTTTAGTATATTACTTATAACTGTTTCTATTAAAACAATCAATATTGAAACAAGTGTACCAACAGCAACAGATCCATAGTTAGACACGACCTTCAGCAACGAAGACTGCGAAGAGATTGAAACGAGACAAAAAACATATTCAAAATTAGAAAACTAAACGTAGGACGACGCATGACTTATTTTAGTTGAAAAAATAGAAGCGTAGGTTATAATTGCGGTATTATAGCATTTCCCTATAAGCAATAAAACTTGCAAATTTTTATTGCTTATGGGGAATTTGATGACTCCGTGGCGCAGTTGCCAAGGTATTGGCTTCGGCGTCGGAGGTCGTGGGTTCGATCCCCACACGGGACAACTATTTGTGTGACCCCACAGATGGTTGTTTCGCATCTGGGTGTTTGTCCGCGTGAAATTTATATTTGTAAAATGTCCTTACAACACATGATAATATTATCCTAAAGTAAGGGCAGTGTTTTTTAAAAAATCTAAAAATAAAAAAATCAGATTATAAGCAACAGTAGTGTTTGTAACAAGCGATGACAAGAAAGTTTAACTGTGGTAGGACCACGCAACTCTTCGCTATTACACGAATGGGCAGGTCCGTCCGGGCAAGTACTATGACCTAAAGGAAGACCGGTGTGAAATGGAAGTTTTATACTTCTGCGTTTCGTCTGGTAAGTGAGGAAGCCGGGGCCAACTTTATTAAAAGGCAATGCACTTGCAACCCTACGGGTGTTACAAATGTTAATGGGTGGGGGTTATTATGTAACATCAGCTGAACAGCCTGCTCTCTTGCCACCTTCTCACATAAAGAGAAGAGTGCAGTAGAACAAAGATAACCGCCATAGCTCAGAATATTAGTAAGCTGAAGTGGCGATTGGCTGGCCATATGGCTCGTAGACCCCACTAGATTGAGCGGCGATCTGTGCAAATGTGCGGGAAGTCGATGGATGCAGGTGGCTCAGGACCAGTGATGCGTGCTTCGTGGCAGCATGTGGGGGAGGGCTATGTTCACCGGTGGACTCTTAGAGGCTGAAATTATGATGATGGTGATGAAATATACTTTATTGCAAACACTTTGCGACTTTTTGCAACTTTACGAAGGACGGCGTGAAGGGAAATTATGTTATGTATACATATTTCATGTAATTATTGTAAGGGTGCTTTAGCTCGTTAAGAAGATCTTTGTTTAAGTGTGGGTAACATATACCTGCTTATATATCGGTAAAGTAAAGTGTCTGTAAAACGAATATCGGTTTTAAGAGGAATACAATCCTTCAGACGGTAGAGTTCGTAAAGCTGTAAAGACTTTGCGGCTGATTTCTTTGACTTATACTCCCGAGGTCGTAAAATTCAGTACACCTAATATAAAGATTACACTGGTGCCTTTCGAAACACTCATTATCATATCCATTCATTTTAAACTTCCGCGGACAGGAGACAAAATAGAAATACACGAAGGAACGACTATCTCGAACGCAGCACCCGCCGCCATTCTTATGTAAATATTATAGGAAGAGAAATCGCGAACTGTCCGCTTGCGCATCGTGCATCCCTCAAAGAGATATATTAATTTCAACAATTGCACTTCCGCTCCAAGCGCGTGAAGGGTGAGTGCGGCGAAGTTGGGCGGCCGCTAGGTTCAAAATAAAGTTAGTCGAAACTCGACCGTGTTGAAGACAAAACATGAGAAACACCCGAAATGCAATAGTGTTTTATTTTGTTTATTTTTCCTTCGGGAACTTTTTCTATGGCGTGACTGCGTTGGAGTTATTAATTCGACCGCTTACTTCCATAGTTGAGTATGTTATGCGATTTCTATTTCGATATATGTCAGTGTTTGGTAATGAAATATTTCATGTTATAACAAAAATATTCATTGATTTTTACCCCTGTTGCGCCTTTTACATGAAATTAGTTTTTACTAACATTTATAAGTTTTTTTGTCGATGTAGGATGAAATGCTTTAAAAAATTAAGCTGAATTTCATAGCCCATCATTCAACATTTTTATTCCTTACTTAGTGTTATAGAATAAAATCGATAACTTACAAATAAATTTATGTTTATGATCAATATATGCGCTTATTATCATCAATACATGCGCTTACTTCTTATGCATTACATTAAAATTGATTAGGCAGCTATTGGGAGGAGTACTTGCTCTAAGATATTATTATCCTATGTTCTAGGATATTTTACGGTGGTAGGGCCACGCAGCAGCCTCAGCTGTTGCACGGGTAAGTACCACGACCTCACAGAAGACCGGCGTAAAGTGGAAGTATGAAAAATACTTTCGCGTTTCGTCTGGTGAGTGAGGTGGCCGGAGCCCAATTTTCAAAAGGTTGTCAACGCATCTGTAACCCTCGAGTGTGGCAGATGTCAATGGGCGGCGGTATTCACTTCACATCAGTCGAACCGTCTGCTCGTTTGACAACTTTTGCATTAAAAAAAATTAATAAGGATGATATAATAATTATAATAAGGATGCAAATACAAACTTCTCGTGAGTTGACGTTAAGTCCAGTATCCAGAACCTAAAAAAATATAGATGTACACACAAATAGTTGTCCAATGTTAGAATCGAACCCACGACCCCAATACCTCGTCAACTGCGTCACGGTGCCATGTTTACTTTACACTTCACTACATATTATAAAACAAAGTCTCACCGCTGTCTGTCTGTCTCTATGTATGCTTAAATCTTTAAAACGACGTAACGGATCTTGATGCGGTTTTTTTACTAGATAGAGGGATTCAAGAGGAAGGTTCATACGTATAATACGATGCACCCGTGCGAAGCCGGGGCGGGTCGCTAGTTAACAATAAATCAATATCAATGCTTATCGAAGTGAAGCGCAAAA